CACACATAAGTACATACATTTTTATTTCTGTGTCATGTCTACTAATTTGGCCCTCTTTGGATTACAAGACACCCCTAATTTACAAACGCATAAATCTTCTACATGTAAAATAAACATGTTCTTTCTGTACAATTTTAACATTACTCTATATCTTTTCGGCATTGTTCGTTCTGTAAAATAAAAGACTGGATATTGGTACATATTGACAAACATAAAAGCAGATACCAATGTCTGTGAAAGGCTCATATCAGGTAATATGATCAGCCAAAGGTTTCTACCAATATATTTATTCTTACTGACAGTAGGATACTGTTAAATCTTATCAGAGCTTTACTGACGAGTGCTGTCTCCAACAGTTGAGAGAATGGCTGAAATGGGGAGAACTGTACTACGAGACCAAGGGATCACTGATATGTCTGGCACAAGGTGGGTGGAGAGAGTTAGAGTGTGTTACTTCATTCCAAATAAACACAAAGGGTGAATAAATAGTTTTTTTTCTCTGTGTTTATATAAAAAATGTACATTTAGATTTTACTTCATCAGATAAATGCTGCTGGGATGAATAAAGTCAATCTTATCTTAACCACGCTGATATGTTCGGCTCTGCAGGCTGGGCTTCCACAAACCTCCCTACATCTCAGTGGATCACCTCCACCTCCACGTGCTCGCTCCAACCAACCAAATCTCAGAATACATGATTTATAAATTCATACCAGGGACCAGATCTTTTATTACTGTAAGTACTGAGGACGAGCTGTTTCTCTACACCTTATTTCATTGATCCTCTCAATGTTCTTCTGTTTTAACATTAATCAAAATTATTTATTGGCACATCTTTAATTACCTCAAGGCATGTTACATCTTAAGCTTGAGACCTTAATATAAGATCCAAGATCATGTAAATGCAGATACTGGATTAATATTCAATAACTTCAGTGTATGTCCTTATTTTATTCTGACAATCCATCTACGCCGTAGTTGAATAAATGAATTTGTCTTTGCAGGAGGAAAATCTATGCAAGCACCTACAGAAAAATTCTTCAATACTGCAGCACTTTAAAAGGCAAATCACACGAAAACAGTGTAAAGATGATTAAAGATGGCTTATTTAAATTATTTTTATTACTACCTGTTTGATGTATTTTGTTCAAAGCAGATTTATTTGGGAAAACAGGATGCACCATGTATGCATTCGATTATATGAAATAATATTGGTAATAAAGCTTCTATGAGACAAAGAGCTTCTGGTGTAAACATCACCTCAAGGCCCTAATCATGTCACTTTGTGTTTTTCTCTAAAGATGTGTATCGCTTAAAATGCTTTATTCTAGTAATATAATGACTTTCTTCTAAATCACGTGTGTGTGTGGATCACAGAGGACATTTAGGCTAAAAACATGGTGTAAATGACCAAATGTGAATGTTGGGCCTTACAGACACTTGGATGACACTACAGGAGCAGTTGTTGTTTTATTTATGTTTGAAGAATCGGTCACCATTAACTTTAATTGTATTGGATTTGGTTCCAGCACGGTTTACCCCTGAGTCTCCAGAAGTGTTTTGTTGACTCAAACACTTGACTCCTCCGATGATACGTGCATTTTCTATTTCTTTAAGTTCCGATAGAGGAGCACTCGATGGTGGAACGCTGATAATCCACCCCTCTCATCCTTTGGCACTTCTTCTTAATGCCATGTCGAACAATGTGTAGAAATCAGGAAAATTATTTCACGTGTTGTCCGTGAACGCATCAGTGGACCGGCTCGATGACCTGTATTTCCGCTGACGTCACAGCAGCGACAGACACGCCCAGCTGTTCCTCACCCAGCTCGCCCTCAGTTTATCAACAGTGAGGTTGAAGTCAGTCATGGAGTCTGACAGTGACGTGTGCTCCTTCTGCCGCATCGCAAACCACGACACGGACACAGACATCCTGCTGAGTGTAAGTACAGACACTCCCGACCACTTACTGACACGCGCTGAAACATCTGGACCCACTCCACATCTGTCCCCGAGCAGGACGAGCAGCTGGTCTGTTTTCGGGACGTGAAGCCTGGAGCCACTCATCACTACCTCATCGTTCCCAGGATGCACATCGACAACTGTAAAGCTCTGCAGGGAACCGACGTCCCTCTAGGTCAGTGGCGGCTCGAGCTTTTGTGGGGTCTATGGTGCCCCCCCCCCCCCCGAAAAATGATCCGTTTCTCTGGTTCTACTCTTTTTAAAGCCATGTGTCTATCTCAAGTGCTGAAGTGCCCCATGTGTGTGAATAGATGAAGATTAGAAAATATAAATATTTAAATATATGTGGGCTGTCTACCATTTACCATAACTGTGATCATGAGATTCTAGTTATTATTCCGTAGTAACTGGACATCACTGAATAAATATCAAGTTTCTATGAAAAAGCAAAATTGTACAAGAAATACTGTCCCTAAGAGTCAGATGATAATGTTACTCTCGTTTTGAGTATTTATTAGTTCGTATCATATGAATGGGCCATATTTGATGTGTTTGTTGATAGTGGAGCAGATGGAAAAAATGGGGAGGAGTATACTGGAGAAGAATAACATCAGCGACCTAGATGACGTCTGGTAAATCCTCTCCACTCATCTCTACCATCAAATCAATAAATGGCTCTTCAATCCTGCATTAACACAAAGCAATAACTACCACTGAATTTTCTTGTTTCATATTTTACATTACATTTAATCACTGGACATCCTATTCTATTGCCATTAGTTTTTACAGTATTTAAATATATTCTGTATTTATTCTGTATTTTGCATCCACAGTATATTGCGTTTTTAAAGGAGGGGGTTATGTGTTTTGTTTGTTTTCTTGTTATGCTGTGATTGTTGTCTTGTCTGGTGCACGCACAGGCAAATTCCAAACAACTGACTTGTGTGGCAATAAAGTATTGAATCTTGAATCTGTGCTGAGATCATCATAGTTGTATCTCGTGTCAGTTGTGAACTGCTTTCATTTACAAAGTTCTTTCAACCCCACATGGAATCTGTGCAGTATGGGTTTTCATATTCCTCCATTCTCCTCCGTCCCACACCTCCACCTTCACGCTCTGGCGCCCACCAGTAAGATGAGCTTCAGGTCGCAGCTGCACTACACCCCGAAGTCTCACTGGTTCATCACAGTGAGTCTCATTGTTCTGTACAGAAGCTGTCAACAAAATATCCAAAAATTCATGATGACATAGCAGTTTCATTAATCACAAAATTGGGCAGCTACAAAAAGCCCATATTTTTATCATAAATGCATTAAAATGTGTATAGTTCATTTTTGAAATTAACATTTATGTATAAATGTGATTTATGAGAACTTTAAATTGGCACTTAGTTCTGTTTTCTGCTCTGTTGCAGGTAGATAAAGTCCTGTCTCAGTTGAAGACTCATGGGAAGGTCAAATGAAGAGAACCGAAGTTTCAACATTTACATGTTATATCTTTTCATTAAGCTTCACTCATTTAATTTTAAATCACTTTTCTATCTGACTCAACATTGTTTTTAATTAATGAGTTCATATGAAGTGCAGTCTTCTGCACTGCTTGATGATTCAGTTGGTCGAAGCCGGAAAAGGTTGAACTTTCCGTGCACCATCAAATGTCGTTTAGTGTGACTATCAACACATCAACAAGGGGAGAATTACATCTTATCAGATAATTATATCTATCTGATATCTTCATGGTTTGAAAATCCCATGTAAGAAGCCATTTAATTGTATTTTTTACATTAATGTGTTTTTCAGAAAGAAAAATTGAACAAACCTGTTGTATTTTTTGTTTGTGTCTTTGTTTTAATGAAGTATTTCAACTGCTTATACTTTGGATATCATGTGTTACAACCTGCCTGACGCACTGAGATAAATGTCTCTTAATAATATTATAATATTATATTTATTATTAATAAAAGCTCTAGAGAAGCTGCAACTCGTGATCATGTCTTAAGGGTTTCTCTGGCCTTTACGCCACTTCACAGACACAGGCTGGAGTGTGTGCAGCTGTGTATGATCCCCCTTCACTATTTCTGTTTACTTTAATAATCGCAGGGCAACAATGGCTCCTCATGCACGTCTTTGTTTCTCTGCCAGCACCTACACAAGTGTCTGAGCAAAATCATAGGTTTTTAAATCTTTGTGACCATTCACGTAAAAGATGGTCTGTTAGAAATTACCATAGTTATTATGTGATTTTTTCCTTCAAAATGATAAATATATTTAAATAAATCATATCTATAATTTTCATTGATTACAATTGTTCATGTAAATCTTCTATTAATGACCTCAGAACTAAATTATGAAATTTAGTGTAAAAGTGTAAAAATCCTCCTACATCCTTACATATTTAATATATCTTATACCATATCACATTGATATACACAGATATACACATTGATAAACAGCATAATCAAGTACAGCAATGTACTGTGTTATTATGTTATTATATCATATATCATATAGACACAACTATCTGGTCAGACGTACATTAGTCCCAGTATTTTATTGACACAAGGACCATTATCTGTATCGTAACTTCTTCCATTGTAGAAACATTAGAAATCCACTAAAACAAACCAATATGTTGAAACAACTGGGCTCAACATAGTTCCCATTTTGTCAATGTGCTCATGTTAGTAACAGCTGGGTACAGAACACTGTCAGTTCTCTCTTTTTGCCACTTGATGCCACTGGTGTAACTTCAAACTCAGACAGTGGTCAATAGGTTTTGTTTTATGGAGGTAATGAGCTCATATCAGCAACAGGCCTCATTTAAAAGAGGGAAAGCAGGAAAACATGAAAATGTTTGAATTCTGTAATTTGCAAACAACCCGTTCTTCAAACCAATGTTGAAGGGATCAACTTAGACTGTATCAGGATCTCACCATAGACTGTATCAGGATCACACTATAGACTGTATCAGGATCACACTATAGACTGTATCAGGATCACACTATAGACTGTATCAGGATCACACCATAGACTGTATCAGGTTCACACTATAGACTGTATCAGGTTCACACTATAGACTGTATCTGGATCACACTATAGACTGTATCAGGATCACACTATAGACTGTATCAGGATCACACCATATGTATCTGGATCACATGATAGACTGTATTAGGATCTCTCCATAGACTATATCAGGATCACATCATAGACTGTATCTGGATCACACTATAGACTGTATCAGGTTCACACTATAGACTGTATCAGGATCACACTATAGACCTGATCTGGATCACACTATAGACTGTATCAGGATCACATCTGGATCACATCATAGTCTGTATCAGACCAGAGATCATCGTGACGTTTCACTCTTGACCGCGCGACGTTGAAGCGTCGCTGCTGCCGCTGCGGTGTGGCCCCGCCCCTCCCCTCCGTCAACAACTGGATCCCAGCTATTTGTATTTCCATCGCTAGCCTGCTCGCAGCGATCCAACCGCGGAGCAAACCGCCATCCCGGGCGGACATGTTTTCGTTTTCGCCTATTTGAGACACACACCGTCGACAGCCGGTGCCGATGTGCGGCCAGAACCGGCGCAAGGAGCCACGGAGAGCGGAGAGATCGGCCCGCACAGCGTCCTCTTATAGCCGCCGCTGAAGCAGCTAACGCGGCTAACACTTGACTGGAGATCAAGCTAGCTGGCTGGCTGACAGCTGGTCCGGCTAGCTCCGCGTCCTCAACACTAAAGTGGATTCACTCGCTGGAACAATGACTTGTCTCTGACAGTGGTGAGTATATTTACTGTGTATAATGACTTATTATCACTGAGTTATTGTCTACGGCTTGTTTTTTTATACCTGCTTTGCGAGCTAGCTAAAAGTGAGAGTCGGCTAACCGTCGGCTTGTTTGTAGCAGCAGCTGCACGGAGCCACGCCTGGGCCATTTAAACCATCGTTTATTTTCACTGTTTACATCCGGTGTTGCTTCGACCAGCCAGCGTTTAATACACTGACAGTGTCCGGTGTTGTAGCAGCTAATGTAAAATCACTGTTTTGGTTCACAGAGAGCACCGAGGCCCAGCTGGTTGTCACACTGGTGGAAGCAGAACCCATTACTAGCAAGGTGGGTCTGTGCAGAGTCTGCGGTGAAGTGGGTGAACAGAACCAACCAAGTGGCCCATGCCCTTAGATTTGACCTGCCACAGCTGCCAGTATGATGCCGGTAAGTGCACACAACCCCTGCAGTCCTTAGACATGAAAAAATGATTGATTATCATTTATTATTTTGAGATCAGTCCCTTTACAGCTGCTGATTGTGTTTTACCCACAATTAAACCCATTATAGAAACTGGAGCAGCCTCAAGAGGACTGTGTAATCTCAGGCAATTGGGATTATACATCCTTTACTTGTGATAGTCATGTGTTTCCTCAGCGTGAAATCGTAAATGTACCAGGTGCACATAAAGAGGGAAAGTTCAGTATCCTGACAATCCATGTTCACATCGTTCACACAAGATTATCCATCCATTTGCCTTCCCCGCCTCCGCTGTGCTAATCTACTGTGTAAGGGAGATCTGTTCCTGAAAGCTTAACTTTATCTCACTACATGCCTTTATCTGCAGCAGTGTCTCTGTGACGTGAGGCCATATAGCTGCAGGACATACATTTTTTTCATGTAGATGGTTATAGTTTCTGAAATGCAAAAAGCGCTTGTCACAACTTGACGAACAGAGATTATGGTCTTTGTGACTTCTTTATGCTTTAAGCACAAGGAATCTAACACTTTTTCTTCACAAGATTGAACACGCTTGTAAATATACAATCATGATGAGGTGGAATTACAGTGCTGTGTATGAGAATAGGATGTTTTATCTTTATACCCTCCACTTTCTGTGTAATGACAATGACCTAAATGGCACTCATGCCACATATTTAAATTCACTAGATCCAGATTTTTATTTGGATCTGCACAAAATTGCACACACTCATAAACATCATTCCCATAAACATGCCTGATTTGTTTTATCACGATCCATGAATTTTCTCTGAAAAATCAAAGAAAATGTCCTGAATCTTCTCCTTCATCTGAGACTCCACCAAACATGTTATGGTTTCCTACATCCTTCCATAAGTATTATGGTTATCCATCCACTGGTTTTTGTTTAAGTCTGGTAACTAACAAAGGCAGGTGAAAACATAACCTTGGCGGAGATAACAACGCTCTATATTTAAGGCAGTGGGTCCAATCAAGAACTTTTTTCCATCTGTTGTTTTCCCTGGTGTCATTGTTCAAGACGCTCTGTGTAGCAAAGAATAGAACACCTGAATGGCAACTCTATCGGAGCCCCGCTTTGTTGGGTCTTCTTTTGTTATGTTTAGTGCTGAGAATGCAGCGATAGACCGCACGACCCCTTTGGCCTTCAGCGAGGGGGGAACATGAACTTAAAAGCAGGATACGTTTACAGTCGGTTCAGTCAGGTGTCATCATGAACGAAGGCGAGTCAGTCTCGGATCAGTTGTGTTTTTACAAATGATTGGTTGAAAATGCAGTGTCACAGTAGCATTTTGTTTCTTGTCACATGCACAATTTCCGAGAGTCTATTAAGTTTGCAGGAGTGAGTACACAGCACTCTGTATTTGCCGCTGCCACCGATTTCACAGGATTGAGTGCGATGGCCGCCCGGGTGCATGTTTGTACCCTGTGGCACCGACAGGCTATCAGAGTCAAAGAGCTAGTCGGGCGGAGAGGCAGCCCCACCGCGTGCTTGCCTTCTCGCGTGACTCAAGCATCCAATGAGACCCTGGCAGATCTAGGTCTGTGTGGCTGCGTCGACTAATGCTCTGTTGTTAAGGGGAACTTCTGAGCTGAGTATATTGTCAAGTGGCATTAATCTCACACTACGGAGCCAGGCAGAGCGTGACGTACAGGAAAAATCTTACTGTTGCTTTTAATTTTTTGGGGGGCTTGTGGGTGTGCTGGTTTAAAACCGCCCCATTGTTGTTAAAAAGTAATTTATCATAAAAGTCATACATTTAATGGATGTAAGTCTTTTCCCCAAAGTCACCATCAACAGATGAAAAGAGTCAGTTATTCATTTATTTAACAGCTCCCACCTGTTTCAGCCTCCCACCTTTTTTACTTGTAAAATAAGAATCCATTATTAATAAGTTGTTCTTAATGCCGTCCTCCTTAGTCAGCTCTCAATCAAAGAGACACATGTTTTTTTAAACAGCTCGTTGAATCTTGCAGGGACCTGCTACTTTCTCATTTTTTGACTCATTCTATTCAAGTAAAAAGAATATAGAATGGTAATAAATATGAATAGTAATACACATAACCTCTTTTAGAATTAGTCTTTAATAGCAAAGCGGCTGTCATTAAAATTGGGTCTGTGGCTCAAATTTGTAGCCCTGAAGCATCTTTTTGAAATTCTGTTGCTCGTTTTATACTTGTACAGCAGTGTCCTAACTCGGCTTACAGAAAACCTGGCAGATCAGAGGGTTCTTTTTTTTTTTCACTGTCATTTGTCACGTTATGACCTCATCTCTCCTCCATATGGTTCAGTGCCATTTTTAGCCAGATGGCCAGCGTTCGGCATATTTGGGCTGCATGAACTGTCCAGATTAAAGGCAACCTGCGTGTGTACTCAATGAAAGGGACGATGAAGTGTTTAGTGTGCTCACGTCAGATGATTCAGTAAAATCATGCCTAATTCTGGTCATAATGTGATGGTGAACTTGATTTTGGGGAAAATTCCTCCAGCGGATAAGTTTAGGAGTTCCATTTATCCTTGTTTGTTTTTATTCTGTGCCGTTTTGAGAAAAGTTTTGTGCTCTCAGGAAACACATTAGTTCTGTTTTCTCTGTGGTTTGCCTCCTCGTGAGCAAATGAGTGACAGGACTGGTGAGAGGAAATGACTGTTTGAGTCATCCTACTAGAAGATCGGACCAGTCAAGCATCTCTCAGAGTCTCTCAAAAGTTAAATGATGAAAGCCCCTACCTCCACATGATGCCCACTCAAGCGTTACGCATCAGGCACGAGAGGCAGACGATGTGTTTCTCGTCATGTTTGGCCAACATAAAGTGGACAGATGATCCCTGTCTTGAGTCTACTTGATAGTGTCCCGACCTGCCCGCCAGTCACAGCTGTGGTCAAACTGCTCTCGACTAGTTGTTGGTGATGCAGCCACTTGCACATCCCGGGGACACTCCTCCAATAGGACGACTTGCTGGCGTCCACCCCCTCCTCCCACACCCGCCGCCCTGACTCCCTCTCTATCTCTCTTGCTATTTGTTTCTCTTCATCTCTCCCTCCCTTCTTCCCCTCCCTTCCTGAATCTCACATACAGAAAGTGTTCTTTTTTTTCCTCCCAAGTCTCCTCCTCCGCACTTTTCTAACTCGCACGCCACTTTCGGCTTCAGAGGTCCGCTTGGCATGGCATAACTATTAAGTCTCGCAAAAGCGGCGGTGCTACGATGAAGAGGTTTGTGACAATAGTGTTGCGTGGCCTCGTAAGCCTCTCCAAGGAGAACCCCATTTGGGCGAAGGAGCACCACCGGCTGCCGAAGAAGGACATCAGGAGGAAGCGGAGGGCGGTCAAGAGAGCCAAGAGCATGGGTAGACGCAACTTAGTGAGGGCGGTTTGTATTTCTTCAGCGGTCAGCAAGCTGAGCCACTGGAGTTTCTATTTTTCTGCACTTTCACTCTTTGGACATATATTTTCCTGTCGATGCAGAGTTGTATTTGATAATATTCCATGTGGGCTGTCTGCGATGGTTTTTGGTTCGGCACAAATTTGCACTTCATTGTGTTTGATTGGTTGAATGCTTGTGCTGATTGAAAGTTTATTTACTAACTGAGCCTATGGTCTAGTTATTAAATTTTTTTACATTACATTTTCTAATGTATGTTATTTTGTACATGAACATGATTGTATATAAGTATGCACAAATTGTCCCCTACACTGATTTGCATCTTAGAATTTTCACCAGAAGAAATTTAAATAATGGCATCAGTGTTATCTGTGTTCAGACTGGCCTCATTGGGATCTGTTGTATCTTATTATGCAGCTGCTTGCACTCCAATATCCCTTGGGGATTAGCAAAGTAATTATCAGTAAAGTATGGACATAACAGCATATTTACATACAGTATATATGTAAACAAATCTTTTTGCTATCAATGGTCTTGCACATAAGGTCCCAAAAGTGACGTCCATCACTGGTCTCTGGACATAGACAAAGGCAGCGTGAGCTCAGGGATGGTGTGGTATGGATTGACGTCTGTTGGATTTGCCTAAAGAGATGAGATTTGCTTCGACTCCAGTACCATTTCATTACCGTCAGTTTTTGCCTTAATGTGAGCTGTTACAATCCTCATTAGCTGAGTGGAAGTTGAACAAATGATCTTATTGTTCCTGTGGTGCTGCTGCAGAAAATGTCAATGAATCACAAAGCTGCGTCATTACAGAGGATGAGTCACTTTGTCTCTGAGAAAGTGCAGGATTCATAACCTATAGGCACCTCTTTGACCACAGCTAGATTATTTATGTGGTAAAGACGCTGATAAATATTATAGAACTGCAGATGCACCCTGAGGCCACATACACAGTCACACACTTCACTGCTCTGCCTTCTAAAATGTGCTTGTGTAAAAATAATGCAGGTTATACTTTTTAAATATTTGTTTGTCATTAAGCAAAGTTGATTTGAAAGAATCATCATGTCCCTGAAAATTGAACGACCCTTGAAAAATGAGTCATTTTTCAACAGTGTTTGTTGGTGATTGAATTTTTGCCCTTTTGCAGGTGGTCTTTTCTTTTGTTGCAATTTTCCGTTGATTTAGTTTGATGCTGTAGCCTAAAGTTCAACACTGTGAGCCATATGATGACAAACTGGTGTGTTCATTGGACTAGATGGTCAACGTGGGATTCAGACGGCATTTTGATGTATAATTTATATTACTTGTACAATCACTGTGAAGTTGGAATCACAGTGACTTTGGTTCAAAATCTTCACTGTTATAGCAAATTCAACTAGTGAACCATTTACTAGAGATGCCTCTGATATATGGAGAATCCAGATGTCCCCTTTACTGGATGAAATCACATGCAACTTGCACTTAGGCCACAACAAACACATTTTTATCAGAACACATTTGAAATCCCCTTCAAATGCCTTGCTTTGTTATTGATTTTTTCATTTCGGGTCTCTCATCTTGCTCATCACAGATCTGTTGTTGTGCAGTGACACTACACTGTAGTGAAGCAGGAAGGCACACCTCAACCCCCTGCAGAGCTTTGTGCTACAGAAAACAATGACAATCTGTCTGTTACTCCATTGCTGCATTTGACTGGCTCTCACCTGCCATGAACCCAATTACACAAGAAAACATGCTTTTCATTTACTGCTCTTTTCGTTGTGTTTGTTTTCTTAATTCAACCAAATTGTTGAATCATGTCAACAGAGGATCCTATTTTTGTTGCCAAATGACGAAAATGAATTCATTGGTTTACATTTTTTTCATGTCTTACAGGATTAAATTAAATATTAAACCCAGTGAGTCAGGACTTTGCCAAGGCTGAATCTTCTTAGATATGTTTTTATCAGCTCGGACCATCTGGATTTAGGGATTTTTTTTTTCTTCCTTTTTTGCCTTCCTCCAATTTTCCTCCTTGAGGAGTAATGTTGGAGGTTTTGGATCTCGTGTGTGTGTGTAAGATTACATACGTATTTTCTGATAGAGAATTCATTCATCATCAATTCATAGTCATATCTCAAAAAAATTGTTTTTGAATATGAGAAGCTAGCGCTCATTTTAAATGCCTGTATTTATAATTTAAACAACTAAAATGAGAATTGTTGCCACCAAATGTGCAAAGCTGATGTTAACTTCCTACATTTACTAAAATAAACCTAGCTTTTGTTAGCTTAATTTAGTTCATGTTGTAAAATATTGCAGTTTAAACCCTAATCATAATATTGGTTGAAAAAAATCATAAAAATAATAAATTGATATTTTCTGTTTATTGATTTCCTGTCAACTGGTTGATTCATTGATGAATCATCTCAGCCCTTATATTCAAGCTGATGATTCAACCTATACATTCAGTGCCATATGGATCAGTTCAAAGGTCTTCTGTATTTTGCAGCTACATTTCCTGGTGACGCTTCTATACAAGTTGACTGAGGTTGTGTTGTATAGTCTGATAATTACAGGTAAAAAGTAAGACTTGGATAATAAGTAAACTTGGATAAAGTTCCATACAAACTACCTCCAGGCTTTTACACATACATTTATATATGTGTATAAACATTTTTTATCTATGTGTAAATAGATTTTCAGTTCCCTCTTATTTCCACAGTCAACAAGTCTTGACAAAGGTGGTCTTTGCTCTGACTGTTAAAGTGATTGCAGACAGAAGCATGTGAGGACTTGCATCTCTATGTGTTGCCTGTGTATGTTCAACACTATGGCAGGCCTTAGTCATATTGAGCAGAAATGTTGCAGGCACAGGCACGAGACCACCAGCAGCTTAAACTAATATCTTTATGTTTTTATTCAGAAAAAAGTATTTTGAATTCCTGCTCGGGATATGTGTCACTGTGGTTTTATGTTATCACAAGTTTTGTTCATCTTTTCATGATCTAATGTGATGTCAAATACTTTTATAGAGCGTCAGTGGGATCATTAATCACCTCTTTATTCCTCTTTCAGATGATATTGACAGTGTACCTCAGCGATGGGGAACAGGCCGTGACTGAGGTGCCCATCACCCCTGAGACGACGTGCCGCGATGTCGTCGAGTTTTGCAAAGAGCCCGGCGAGAGCGGCTGCCACCTGGCTGAGGTCTGGAGAGGCAACGGTAAGAACCGGATGAAGCTGTGCTGCTTGCTATTATCTGAAATTCAGAATTGCATTTCTCTCAGGAAGCAGTGTTCAGTGCTGTGTTAAACAGAATGAACAGAGGGTGTCGTCAGGAATGCGTGAAGGTGAAGCAATCTGAAACTCTTTTATCACAGAGCTTTACACCTCACTTACATGCACCAGAATTTAATTTTGTGAAGCAGTAGCCTTTAGCGCTCCTCATTAATGTAGAAACAACCACTCTATTAAAGAAAGTTCAGGAGCAGAACTGGGCCATGCTTGATTTTCTGATTGGAAGAAAATCACACCAAAGCCTTAGACAAGGCCCAAGTTACACACCCTGAAAAAAAGAAAAGTGTTTTTAAAAAAATAATTTAGCAGATTAGCACAAACCTCTTGAAGTATAACTTTTATTGGTCAGAAAAGGGTTACGTGCCAGTACAAACCACACTGTCACATCAGATTCTCCTCAGCCCAAACGATTTGGTCCCATCGTCGTCATCGTGCTGACAAGCCTGGTGTTATCAGCGATTTTCTGCTGTGGGGGCCACTCCTCCACTGAAAACAACGTCCCAGCCAAGAGCTTTATTAACCCCCGTTATGCAATCGTGTTCGGCTGGTGTCTGACAATGCGGCTGTCGGCCCCTGAAACCTCCTAAAACCGCTCTGTCTTTGTGTCTGTCTCTTTGTCTCTTGGTCTCTCTGAGCCCACAGCGCTTTGTCCTCTTAAAATGCCCAAAATAACTTTTCTTTGAAAACCTCATCCAAAAAGTCATACCCACAAACAGCTGGTAGCAGAAGTTGGCTCAGATAAAAGTGTCCAGTAATTGGTGTTGTTCTCAAAGTGATTGTGATGAACCAGATAATAGACACACACACTTTCCCTTTGCGGCCATGCTGCTTTGTTTGAGGCACCTGTACTGTGGTTTAGTTAATTTTATCAAGCAGTATTGATTAATTAATTAGACGGTCTGGACTACAGAGGATTTCTGTTGAGTTGAAGCTTAGCCATTACCTCTTTAAAAAAAAAAAAAAAAAAAAAAAGGTTTGTCACCGGCCCAAGAATGATCTACAAGCCTTTGATTCATCTTTTGAAACCATAAGAATGGGACAGTCTAGTTGTGCCGTTGTGACACAATCTGTGTATCAGCCTCTGAAGGATGCAGCCCCTGACCTGAGAGACAGCTACAGAATGTCTATTTGACTTATTTATTGTGTAAGTGTCTAATTAATCAGGTCTGGACTTAACGTCTTTTTCCCACTCAGAGCGAGCTATCCCCTTCGAGCACATGATGTACGAACACCTGCAGAAGTGGGGGCCACGGAAACAAGAGGTCAAGTTCTTCCTGCGGCACGAAGATTCACCAACTGAGAGCAGCGATCAAGGTGCGTACTGGCTGGAGGATTCCCTGTCAGCTGTGTATTCTCTCTGAAGGAGAATGGAAGGTTGGCTGCTGCTCAGCTACAGACGCTGCTGTCAATGTTTATTTTTCTCCTTGTCTCACCCTGGTATCGCTAGTCTTTCCCAACCTGGGTTAAAATCAAACCATGTGTGGTGTGTTTATTCTTTCTTTGAACCAAGTCATAACAGTACAGATACTCCAAACACCTTTTTTTTATGTGGAATGCTTTTGTAAAAAAGAGTCTAAAAGGCTGTCTAAGATGAAAAATCAAGGTGTCATTGATGCTTGATGGGGCATGTCGAAGGAATAAATCCTCGCACACACAAATCGCATTAACACAAATCTTTTTGTGTTTGTGTTTGGATGGAGTTTAGCCACATAAAAAGCCAGGTGTAAAATGCAGCCAAATCCTTCACCCTAACCAGACCTGTACAAGATCAGAGACTCACTGTGGTGCATTCATTTGTCTTTGAAGTTAGTCGGTTTATTTTTTATTTTTGGCCAGTTTTCTATCTTTCCCTGTGTCCTTTACATGATTTATTCTCATCTCTCCATTAACTTTGACTTGTGTGGCTTCAGTCAGCAGTGCTCGTCCCAGTTCTCAAATCTGTCTGTCATGTGCAATCATGTCAGTGACATTTCAAACTATTCCTGACAATGGTTGTTGTCTCTGAATCTGCGCTCGTCTGTGTGCACTTGTGTGTCTCTGCCCTGCCCGTGTTTGTGACGGTGACTGTTTCTCTTTGCAGGGAGTCAGCAGTCTCAGGATCAGACGAGTCGCAGGAGTGGAAACACTGGAGAGAAGCACAATGAGAACGGGGTGAGACTTCATTAGCTTTATCTAAGTGATGTTTAAATAGAAATGGACTTGAAGTAAGTACGTCATCTGGGTCCCCTCTTTTCATTGGTGGGTTGGGGTTAATGTCACAAGCTGTGTTTTGACTACAGGAGCAAGGTACCTTTGCAGGAACTGTTTGCTTTTCCACCATAGGGACCAGGGTTTAAAATATATTACGGGGAAATCTTTATACCCCCAAAAAATCTGTGTTCGCAGGGTAGCAGTGTACAAAAATACAGGAACTTTTGTGGGTGGGACTTGCAGTGCTGGATATGCCTTATTGGTTGAGTATTCCAGCGTCTTATTTTAGCTGTTTAGTAGCTCATAAAATATGTTTCCTCACATTAAGTTAGCATTTCTGGTGTTGAATGAATTCAGTGGTAACAACTTCATTGTTGTATAGTCATCTGTATTACTGTCATCTGGTGGATTGGAGAGGAACATCTAGCTCATACATTAGTGGGCACATTCCCCTTGTTTTCTATGGTATTTAGGAAACGTTGGCTAACGTGGTTTATCCTAGCTGGTGTTATGACATTTAAAAGTGTTGTCTAGTTGGTGCATCACAATAATGACATATAACTCATTATGTCTGTGGATATATAATGAGTCTGATATGAAGCTGGTGTTTGACAGTGGCCTCACAGTCCCTGGTGTCAGCAGATATTCCATTTGCAGACTAGGTCAGTGTTTCCCTTTCAGGTACATGTTCGTCTTTAGCTTCAGGATCAGTGTGCTTAGAGAGGCGAGTGTCTCTCATAAGAGCAGCCTCTGGCATGGCAGCCTTTCTCTCTCCAACCATCTGTCCCAGATTTCACAATACAAAGTGTTGCGGTCAAGGAATCCTAACTAATTCCACCTTGAGGGTGGAGGGTAGAGTCCAGCACAGCAGGGGATTGAGGGGCAGTGGTGTTTGTTTTTAAAGAAAAGAGTCTAGCAGTGCAGCACAAGAGCAGTCAGAAGTCCTTCCTTTATTATCCTGATTGATCATCTTTTGACCCTACTCTTGAGGTAAAACATTTTATAGATCAGCTATTGCTCCACTCTCCAAGCCAAACTCTCTTTAACCACTGCCAGTATCATGCTACTGACCTATTGAAACCTACACCATGTCATGTCATGACAAGACATCTATTTTATCATCATTCATTCACTCAGAGTAAAACTTGATCAGATGCATGACTGGCTCCCCATAACCTCCCAAGTGCTGAGGCTCGTATGTGTCCGAGTTTCTTCCTAATATCTGATTTAGAGGATTATACCAGTCGGCCTGCTGGATGATATAACAGGTCCTAAGAGGATCATTGCTTTGGCTTTTCCACGGGCTGCTGCCCAAACCCTAGGGGCTCTCTCTCCACCAAGCAGAGTAGATCATCCTCTGAGAGCGACGCTGCCTCGTAAAGAGCAGAGGTGCCTCAAGGGAATGATCACACGCAGTTTCAATTTTTTTTATATATATATTGTATATATATATATGTCTCACAATTTTATCTTCCATAATTGATGACTACAGCTTGTTGGCAACACTGAAACATCTCATTTCATTTGAGAGCCGAAATGATTAGTCACTCAACCACTTTTAAATCACAAATAAATCTTAATTTTATCAAAAAAATGATTATGGCCATAAAATGTTGAGTAATAGTGAAAAATATCCCTCTTTCCTTGAGCACAACACGGCATGTGACACAATAAGAAAGAAGACCATCTCATTTTGATTTGAACGACAGGATCAGACGAAGGATGCAGGCGACTTCAGCGGTGTCCTCTGAAGGCTTTGTATTAATTCAGATCATTTTTATTCTGAAGCTTAATCCTGACAATATGACATTTTTAACCACATTCAGTTAGCTGTGTACGGATCTATACAGCCAGTGGACAGGAACACAACCAAGAAAATTCGGCATTCATACGGAGTATTATCGTGAACATGGAAAACACGACCCCATTTGAAGGCAGCAGCTCACTCTCTTTGTCCATGGTCTGCTTAGTTGGGTGTTTCTCCAACTCTCTCCATCACTGTCTGTGTGCGCGTGCGTGCCTGTTTCTCCCTTGGGTGAATTGTCACTTGTCACGCACCAGTGGCTTCCCCCGCTCTCTCCATGTTGGTAAGGGTTGAGTCACCTCAGACATTTTTAAATCTAAATGATCTAAATGTCTTAATAAATACCAGGTCGGGGAAACGCTGTTGTGCTGCGTGTCTTCTGAAATGAGATGACCTATTAGATGGATAGTATTGTTGCCTCACTTCACAAAACCATAAAACTCAAATGACTTCAGAAAAGAAGCCTGTTTTATCCAGAGAGAGAGAAATGTCTGCCTCGTCTTATCCAGTAAGGGCAGTGCATGAAATATCTTTGCCTTTTGGATGTCATGTGTGTCCTTCTTTTATGGCTCATATCAAGCATACATTTAATGTCGTCATCCTTCCAATGCCTCTTACTAATCCTTTTACTTTTAAAATGCTGTACTCAAACCACTGTGCTACATTTATCAGTATTATTTGGGGGGCACAGTGACATTTCCTGTGTACTGTCCCCTCTTTGAAAACACTTCCTAAAGGCAAATGTCTGGTAAAACTTGGGACTGTATCCTCTACAGATCTTTTATTGAAGAGTAGTCTGCCAGTGTGTTGACTGCAACTGCTTTAAGGAAATCCAGAAGTGTGAAGGATGATAGTTTGAGGGTCCAAACAGAATTGAAGGTGATAGCCACTAGTCGTCCTCTATTCTGTGATCTGAAAAACATGTGATGTTTATTTCTGGCTCAAGAAGAGAATTTAATCTTCACTGTTTATGAAAGTGAACCAATTTCCCAGTTTCTTCATCAGGCTTTGTGAAGGTAGACAACATTTCTGGATTGCACATGTTGCTGATTTAATACATTCATCATATATTTATTCATCTGGCTTTATTAAAACATTCACTTGTAATAACTTAAGATTCTGGGAAATCAATTTCTCGCATTAAAACCTTTCGTCCACATGTAAAGGTACGTTTTCACAATAGATCTGAAGAATTTGAATCAGTAAATAATGTGAAGCCTCTCTTTAATCAAAGGGAGTTGTCTAGATTGAATACCATATCTAATATCTAACTAAACACCGGAATCTGATTCATGTTTTATTTTGCTGTAGCTAAATTGTCTTCTGGTAACTCTTTGCACTTGGGTGATGTAGCTTCCTCTGTCTGTTGATATCTTCACTGTATCAGCTCAGTATTCTCCTCAAGTGATGGTGATCTGAATCCTCCGTCATGTATACAAACACGGAGTGACACATTCCCCTCAGAGCCTCGACTCTTCTTCATCACAATTACAGTCCCATCATAGTGATATTTGGAGCCTTGTTGTGGAGGAAGTGAGAGTCTGACTCTCACTGCTGTTACGTCTGCCGCCGTGTGTTGTTGACCCTCTGGCTGCTGAAATCAGACAGTGTTCCGAATCATTGCTGCAAATGGCTTTTTGCATAACTTGTTTCTTTGAACCTTTTTTGTTTTGTTCCTGCGCAACATTTTTAGCTTATGTAACTTTTTATGCCAGATGTGATTCTCTGCTCGTACCCTCTTGAATATTAGCTCTAAAATTGCTATGAAAACCCCAAATTAACATGAGTGTTGACGGCTTAAAGAGCCAAGTATCTTAAATAGTTTTTCTCCATCTTGGTCCTCTAAAGCAGCTTCGTCTCTGCTCTTCTACTGCAGGATGAAAAATATTCAATGAAATGTTGTTGTTTTTTTGTGATTTAGGTGGAGATCATTGGGAAAATGAGGCTTTGCTTGAGGAACAAAATTTGAATTTGTGTTTCTCTTGATGAATCTTAATCCCTCTACAATGTTTAAAAAAAAAAGACCCAGCACCAATGAGTATAACCTCACATTTGAAAGTGTGTGTGTGTGTGTAGGTGGGGAATCAGCGTGTGGAACTCACGCTGTCAGAGCTGCAAGAGATGGCCACACGGCAGCAGCAGCAAATCGAGGCTCAGCAGCAGATGCTTGTGGCGAAGGTAACATCCTGTCTTCATTCTTTTGCCTTAACTGTGATTCAATACCCTGAATATTTGAATGGTCTTAATTCAACCTATGGAAAACAGCATGTTGTAGGAATTTGCCAATCATGGACAGTTCAAGAGGAATTTATCTCATTATATTAGAAATATTAGAAGAAACTGATGTAATCATAGAGTCAAAAATGCTGTTTGTAGACAGACTAATAATAGGTTGTCTAATTTAGCATTTTGTGTAATGTAGAGCAGAGCAAATAAAGGAAGGAAATGTGAGGATTTAAATAAAACTAAGGTTTTATTCAATCAGAAAATCATTTTCATTTAATTAAGATAACAAAACAGGAGACGTTTAACCCAGAGCCAGATCAACAAAAAGGAGTGCTGAATTAATAACACAAAAATGTATAATCTACTATCTGGGATGCAGTGGCCAGCTGCCTCCACTTCCCCGATGGCCTCCAGCTCCACCCAACCAGGAACCTGCAATAAAACACGACAACGCCACAACACACAATAACACTGGCAGAAGCCCTGGGGCTGTCACACATACTGTACAAGGGTGGTTGGTGAAGTGCAGGTCATTACTTCAAGGCTGCGGCAGGCCAGGTAATTTCAGGACAGCCTCGAGCCTCTCTGTTAGACAGAGAAATAGACGAGTGCTCCACTACTGTGAAACAAAGAGTACCATCATGACCTGAAACATGGGGCAAATGGTTACGTAACAAATGAGACATGACGCCATATGAGTCACTGTGCTGGGACTGTCCACTCTGTCAGAATTTATACTTCAGGCTTAGAGGAACTCATGCACAGACTGTACAGCAACATCAAACACTGAGGATACTGATAGATTTCACCCTGGAGTTTGGTGGCAAACTTCCACACAAGCAGCCCCTCCGTCAGTCTCTGTGGCGTCCCAGTGCTCTAACTCAGTCTGACCACTGTGCCTGTGGTTAGCTGCCGGTCAGTCATGCAAGACGAAGCCCACTGAAGACCCGACGATAGAAAGACTATTTATTGGCTTTGTTATGGTGTCTGAGAAGTAGGCCCACTTGAAGCCCCTGCAGTCATTTGGAAACCTGGGCCTGTCAGCTCCTATTTTAGGACCTTAACTGGAGCAATTCTCAGTTGGGTAGAGAGATGAAGTCATCTGACCCCGTCTTCAGCCTTCAGACAGTCTTGACATAGCGCAGCATTTCACTTAGTGCATACAGTAGAAAGGTTAGCCCAGTTTTACGACATGTCTGATGTCTTGTAAGCTTTGGGACGGTGTCATGCTGGTTTCATATCCATGTTGTTTTTGACTTGTTGACCAGACAGAATGTTCAAAAGCTTTTGTCATTAATTTTTATGTACAATCTTGCAGTAAAACACAATTTTGAACCTTGAATTTACATCTCTGTCTCGTTCTATGCAGGAGCAACGTTTGCGTTACCTTAAGCAGCAGGAGCGGCGTCAGCAGCAAACCGTATCGGAGAGCGAGAAGCTGCAGAGGCTAAAGGAACGCGTGGAGAGCCAGGAGGCAAAGCTGAAGAAGATCCGGGCAATGAGAGGCCAGGTGGACTACAGCAAGGTCATCAACGGCAACTTGTGTATGTACACTCACAGTATGTACATGATCTGAGCTTCAGCTCACTTTAAGATGAGGATTCACACGTTTTCAGACGCATCTAACCCGATGACATCAATTAATTGCTATCACCCCACAGTGATCTCACTGATTGTACTGTTCCTCCAATGCAGCTGTAGAGATTGAGCAAGTCAGCAGCTTGTTCCAAGAGAAGCAGGCAGAGTTACAGTCAGCTGTGCTAAGGGTGGAGCAGCTCAGCCTGCAGCTGGAGGACCTGCGGAGAGGAAAGCTAAACGGCATACAGACCGTCTTGGGTGGCCAAGTAACCGGCGCCGCAGCCCTGGAGCTCCGTAAGCTCTACCAGGAGCTTCAGGTAAGTGCAAAATCTCCTGAATGCTTTTATTTGTTCCGCTCTCCATCTTGTTCTGGTCAATCAGTTCATGTGTTTGCCTCCTGGTTTTTCATCCTCAGATTCGGAACAAGTTGAACCAGGAGCAGAACAGCAAGCTGCAGCAGCAGAAGGAGCTTTTGAACAAACGCAACATGGAAGTGACGCTCATGGACAAGCGCATCAGTGAGCTGCGGGAACGCCTCTACAAGAAAAAAGCTGAGGCACGTCAAAAAGAAAACCTCCCTGTAAGACTAGGAGCACTTAACACACCTCCTCCTCAGATTGTTTTGGCTAAAATGCTTCTGACAAAAGTCATTGTCTCCTTAAGACCTCACTTCAAACAAGTTGTTCAATTTAAAATGAAAAATTGAAATCCTTCTTGCTTTTCCAGTCAAGGAAACATAAAGAGAAAATCATTCTGCTGATGTTTCTGTTTGAGACTTTTCTGACTCTCTCCTCTTACAGCTGAACAGAGCCAACGGGCCTCCGTCTCCACAGCCAGCTCCTGGGACTCTGGGGCGCGTCGCCGCTGTCGGGCCGTACATCCAAGTCCCTGTATCGGGCCGACAGGAAGGAGGCTACACCATGCCACCCGATCCACTGAAGCCTCAGACCCTGGGTGTCAATAATCAAGCCAACCACGGCCGCACCAAGTCAGGTTGGAATAGTCCCATAAAATTACATTTGCAATGCATTTTGAATAAAGCACAGCTGTAATGGACACCAGGTGATTTTCTGTCTTTAGGATATATTTAAATTTTCCTCATTACATAAGCAGGAAGTGAAGTTAAAGTAGGAAACAACAGCTGAGAAGTTTTTTTCCTACATTCAGTACAAACTAGTTTGGCTTCATGTCGTCCCAGTTGCAGAAGTCTTACACCACTACATATTTAACACATCTTGCATGAACACCTTGTGACTGAAATTCCCTCATGGGCCTCAGCTGTTATTTGTTTCCTTCCCCTACCTGACTTCTCATGAATTCTCCGCCCGGACCTGATCTCTGCAATTTCTTTTGTTTCCTCCCGCTCTAACCTCACTCTCTTTCCTGTGTTGTGTAAACCGTGAATCCCTCCCTTCTCTGTCTTCCTCCTCTCATGTGTCTGTGCTGTCCTGTCTCTGTGACGTCTCTGTGTCACTGTGGGGTTGGTGGGTGGTGGTTGGGTGGGCAACTCTCCCGGGGCAGACGGTGTGCGAAAGCCTCCCGGCCCTTGGAAGGTGTCTGATTTAGACATCGTTGTGGACCCGGTACCCCCGTCCTTTCCAGAATCACACCCAGGCCCTGGAGCCTCCACTGGCTCTGACGGCTCGTCCCGTGAGTGCACTGTGCCACACAAGCAGAGAGATGGCGCTCTCTGAACCTTCTCTCTCGATCTTAGCACAGGATCCTCAGCATGCGCTTGAGTTTTTACCCCATTTTTTTACAACCATATCCTGTCACAGTCATATCAGCTTATTTCAAGATAAACTAATAGCTTGTTTCTTGAATTGGCCGGGAACATAAAGCCTGGGTTCTTCCATATCACAGCATGATCTCCATACAGGCTATTGCTGTTTTCAAATCCCACAAAATCAGTCAGATTTAAAAGATGATGGGACATTGATGATTTTCTCCACCAGTCTCAGAAAAATTGATTGAAAGCATTGAAGGAGATTCTTGTTCGGCATCTTTAAACTTCCCTGCCTGTGCAGCAATGGAAACAATACACGTTGATTTAATTTGGAGTGTGTTCACTCTGGATCGTGTGATTACGTCAAAGTGCTGAAATACCATCTTGAATCACTCTGCTGCCACCTGCAGTAGGGATGCCACGGTTGGACATTTTCCCACAGAGTAATAAACTCATGACAACACCAGTGTTACCAATTACACCGAACATTATTAAAAGAAAAGACGTGTGTTGGCTCAGTGTCTACGGAGCTCTTACTTTGATCTTTTTAATCAATTTCTATGCTGTCTTGTCCAGTTTCATATTGATTTGAAAGATTCTTTTTTAACACTTTTCATAATAACATAAAAGTCCTTAGAACTTGGAGTTCTGCTCTGTCATTGAAGAGTTTACAGATGTCTCTCGCCCACTCACGCTCTCTATCTAACACATCTGTCCCGTTAAAACAATGATCTTAGACTCACAGATTTTATTTCTATATAGAATCAATGCAATTGTTGCCTGAACACTGTGTAACACAGAGCACCATGGCATCCCTACTCTGCGGAGGTTTTACACTCGTGATTGTAGTTGACATTCCCCGTCAGCGACAAAGCACACTGCTGATCCTGTGTGTGTTTGTTCACTTCTGAGAAGGTTCAGGGCCTCAATGAGTTCACACATTAGTCCTGAATATTTGGGCTTTGCTCTAATTTCCCCGCCTGTCTAACCTCAACCTTTATGCTACATCCTCACAACAAGTAGGCTATGAGAAGCAGTTTTAGTTGTAACTTTTCATGCACAAGGAATTTTTAACTTGTACATGTTCAATGTTCATTGAACATCAAATTTCCCACTTAATAACACATCAAGACCCAGATCAACCTGTTTCTCTGTTAGACTCTGGTTAGTGTTGGTAGAACTGGTTCACTGTTAATCTGTGTACAAACTTATACAGACCAACTATAGATTATGTTGATTATTTAACAACAGGATATATATAGAGAATATCTTAAATAGAAATATATTAAAATTGGCTTTAGGGTTTCTGGAATCCCATCAAACTGCACCAGTATCGCTGTTGTTTCACTGTTTCTTCCTGTTTCCATCTACTTTCCTTTCACCCTGTCCTCGCTGACTAAATATGCATTTTCTTATTTTGCAGATTTATTTTCAGACAAACAGTGCTGACATTAGCAGCAGCACTCATTGTACATCCATGAATCTTCTACTGAATTGCAAATAAGTTGCTATTTACCGAGAATGATTGACACATGCACATGGTAGTTTAATACTAAATAATACTAAATACATTCATTATCATCACTGCTGCGAAGTGAAGGCTCAGGATTTTTGTCCTATTGATCAATAACTATGTTCTCTTGAAACCTTTAGTCTGTGGTGAAGAAGAGTAGAAGAAGTTAGGAAGACTTAAAAGAAATAAAGACATTTTTTGATGTGTTTGGCAACGTGGACCTTCAACAGAGGATGGACAACTGAATAATAAATAACTGACAATAAATAGGAAAATGATTGATGATGGGAAATATTTATATATTGTAAAAGCTTTTTTACGGGAATAAGAAAATTAGAATTCTGGTTTGACTCTTCTCATCAGGTGTTTATAAATTTGAAAGATGCCAAATTCAAATTCACAGAAAAGCAACAAGAAGAGTTTGAGTAGTGTCTGGTTAATAGGATAGACTTCTCAAAATCCTGAACCCTCCATCAAATACCAATCCTGGGTCCAAATGGTACAACAAACCTGCAGAACGTGTTTAAAGTCGTACACATCCAGATGTAATTGAAATGAAAATCACAAATGTTCTACTGTGCGTAGCTGATAATAAACCTTTTCCAATATTAAAGATAAATACCATTTAGACCTGGTTCTGGTGGACACACTCTGAGTTGGAAAAGAGGCTCCTGCTTCTTCCATCCCGTCATTCACTGGATATGGTCTTTATTTTCTCCTCTGCATCTCTCTCACTGTGTCCTGTTTGTGCCGTAGCTAATGACGCTGGTTGGCCGACTCTGGGTAAGACGAACTCCACTCTAAAACCTCCTGAGAGAAGAGACTCGGGGTCTGATACCCAGGGAAAAAGCCCCCCCTCAGGCTCGCCAGTCGCTCCAAGTGCAGAAAAGGTTGGTCGACTTTTTAAAAAAAAAAAAATTTTTAACCCCAGGGATGGAGAAATTGAATTGAACCTTTAGGTCTCATTTCTCTGTCTGTAATTCGATTTTCCGTGTTTGATGCTGGTTGTTTCTCCACAGGTGCTAGAACCCAAAATGGTCGTCTCCTCCCCTGTCATATCCAAGCCACAGCCGCCTCCCTATGGCTCCCACCTCATCTCTGCGAACTCCGCCAGCTCCTTGGAGCGCCGAAAGGATGCGCTGCCTCCTCCTCGCCCACTCCCAAACCCGCCAGCTCCCGCTTGGCCCCGCACCCCCTCCTCCACAGGCTCATCCTCCCAGCAGATCCAGCAGCGAATCTCGGTGCCACCGAGCCCCACCCTACAGCCCAACGTGCCGCTTTTCCCTCCCGGGCTGAGCGAGCGTCTCGATCCACCGCCGGCTGTGGCAGTACGGCCTTTCATCCCAGACAGAGGGTCGCGGCCTCAGTCGCCCCGTAAAGGTCCACCCACCATGAACTCCAGCTCCATCTATCACATGTATCTCCAGCAGGCAGCGCCAAAGAGCCAGCCACTCAAGCCTGCTCTCAAAGCCGGTGAGTGTTGTGTTCGAGCAGATGCTCCAGTACTATATAGACCTCACTGTGAAAGTTCAATAGAGAAAGTGGGTTTTGATGATTGATCATTACAGTGGAAACAGCTGCTTATATGATTGAATGATACAAACGCTGTTTGAGTTACTTGCTAACATTAAAACAATTAGTCGGCTGTTGATTTTAGGTCTTTTCAATGGGTCAAAGTTAAAGTGTGGATATCTGCACCAGGTTTAGAGAAAGATGGATTAATATTTATTATTTACAGACTCAGGTTGTGTTCGGTAACATTGGCTGGGCTTACTTCTTGATTTTTTACACTACACACAACTGTAATCAGGGAAAACATGTGGGTTGGCTTTGGACACAAAAAACTGAACGACTTTTGGTTTTGGGTTGACCATATGATGTGAACTTGTGAGCTTTTGGATATAGATCATAGACACACATCATATTAATCTGTTAATTGATAGAATGAATAGTAGACTAATTTATAGACTTGTGAATAATGGTTGGCTGCTGCTCTAATTTCATTTACCTCAATTTTATTTCCTCTCCTTGTCTCCAGTTTACGGAAAGCCTGTACTCCCCTCTAGCTCGACACCCCCCTCGCCTCTGCCTTTCGTTCAGGCAGGCGGGGCCTTCCCATTGCTCCAGGGCCCACCTGGCGGTGACGACACTCTGGACGGAGAAATTGATGATCTCGAGGGCTTCCAGCACCTGGAGCCCTCAGCGCCTCCTCCCAGCGTGGAGAACATCCCACGACCACTCAGCCCTACGAAGCTTACACCCATGGTACACTCCCCGCTGCGCTACCAAAGTGACGCCGACCTCGAGGTGCTCCGTAAAAAGCTGGCCAACGCCCCGAGACCCCTCAAGAAGCGCAGCTCCATCACAGAACCAGAGGGCCCCAGCGGACCCAACATCCAGAAACTGCTCTACCAGAGATTCAACACTCTCGCCGGAGGGATCGAGGGAAATGGAGTCAGTGGATCAGGAGGAGGCAACGGTGCAGGGAACGGAACGCCGTTTTATCAGCCGGCCAATCCTCCTGGATATCTGGGAGGGGACTCTCTGGCTGATACAGACAATGGCAACCTCCCGTCCGGAATGCCGCTACCGCCGCCACCTGGGGCAGAGGAGCTGGGCTCTGAGGCCCCACCTCCATCTACCGACGCTAACGACAACGAGCCGCCCTCGTCGCCAGAAGGGCTGGAGGATCCCGCTGAAGAGGAGGAAGCAGACGACGACAATAACAACAACGTGGGAACCTCGGAGGCGTCGCTGCCGAGCCCGGTGCTGGAGGTCACCACTCCAGAGGAGAGCGGCATGGCGGCCTCACAGCCTCTGGTGAAAGACACATAAAGACACAGACTTTACTGCAGTGAATTAGTTCCTTTGTGAATGAATACAGGTGTAACTTGTGTTTTCTCTCTGTTGTTGCAGGAGAAACGCACAAACCTGAAGAAGCCGAACTCCGAGCGCACAGGTCACGGCTTCAGAGTCAAGTTCAACCCTCTGGCTCTGCTGCTCGACGCCTCCTTAGAGGGAGAGTTTGATCTCGTCCAGAGGATCATCTACGAGGTTTGTTGTGTTTATTTTCATCTATGAAAGTTTTGTTGAAAGATTATAAATGGATTGATGGAATCTGTGATGTCCGGGCTTTCATATGATGCAGCTTGTGTTAGCATGAAGTAGTATAATCGTCAGGGCTGGTTTTGTGGACGTTTGCAGTTTGTGTGTTTTTGCGACATTCTGATTTAGTTGCTTTTGTTTTGTTTAGGTAAAAATGGTTGTCATGGGCGTTTAGCTTCTACTGTTATGCCCATGTTGATTAAACGTTATTTCTTATATGTTACCTCGTCTGTGTCTGTTATGTCCACTGCATTGCCGGTGACCTGTTGGGTTGAAACCTGCAGAAACCCTGACGTCGGACACATGCTCATCTTTTCTTCTTTCTCTTCAAGGTGGAGAATCCAAGCACTGCCAACGACGAGGGCATCACACCCCTGCACAACGCCGTGTGCGCTGGACATCACCACATAGTCAAGTTCCTGCTGGATTTCGGCGTGAACGTCAACGCTGCCGACAGCGATGGATGGTGAGTCTGAGGAGAGAGATGACGGTAAACTCTGAAGACATTTTAATTTTACGTGATCTCACTGTTTGTCTTCCTGTTTGTGTTTACCCGGTCAGGACTCCGCTCCACTGCGCCGCTTCCTGTAACAGCGTTCATCTCTGCAAGTTGTTGGTGGAGTCGGGCGCGGCCATCTTCGCTAGCACCATCAGTGATGTGGAGACTGCGGCAGAAAAGTGCGAAGAAATGGAAGAGGGTTACATCCAATGCTCCCAGTTTTTATACGGTGAGAAACAAAAAAGTAATCAGTCCAAATTTTGTCTTAAACTCCTCCAACATGTAAAAAAAACAACTGTGTGGCAAATCTGTTTCTTTACTGAAAGTCGTAGAACATTCTTGTGAAAAATGACGATTGATGGCTCAAAAAAAAGTGTCTCGATCGCCACCAAACTAAAATTTCAAGGTAGACGCCAAATAGGTTTTTCTCAAAGACGGTTGTTGTGACAAGTTTGATTTTAATTCGTTATTTGATGCTATAAGAACAGGATGAAATTTCATCTATCTTTATTTACTTTAAACTTTTGAAACTTTATTCATGTCTTTATTGATTTGTCCAAGACTTTCGTGATATTGACCGTTGTCTGTTTTGGTCCGTCTCTGGTGCAGGTGTTCAGGAGAAGTTGGGTGTAATGAACAAGGGGACAGTTTACGCTCTGTGGAACCATGATGCTCAGAACCAGGACGAGTTGTCGTTCAGCGAGGGGGACGCCATCACCATCGTGCGGCGACAGGACGACCGCGAAACCGATTGGTGGTGGGCGCGACTGGAAGTCAACGAGGGCTACGTGCCACGCAACCTGATCGGGGTAAATACAGAGTGCACCATTGGTCTGGGAAAACGAATGCTCACTACTTATATTCATTGATTGATTATTTTCCACCCATTTCAAGCCAGAACCTCAAAGATTTGCTTGTAGTAGTTTTTAACTTGAAATTTGAGAAGAGGATTATATAAAGATCAATAATAATAGGAAGTGAATGAATTTGATTTATCGTCTTTCTTGTGTCGGATTATTTGTCACTTCAAAAAGGAGAAGAACAGCACATAATGGAGCTGGAGCAAAACAAGACATAAAGTCAGTTATAACATGATGGAGTCAATTTAGTCACGTGAATCATTTCTGCTCTTCTCTCTGTTCGTCTCCTGCAGCTCTATCCTCGCATCAAACCTCGTCAGCGCTCGCTGGCGTAGCGTCTCTCACTGACCTGTGGCGAACAGCTGGACCAGCGACAAAAACCAAGAGCAGAGAACAAAAAGGAGCGCAGTGCTCCGACTTCTCCCCCGTGGCCATAACCTCTCACCCCCCCCACCAACTCCCACCTCCGAAAAAACCACCGGCATTGTGCTTCTTTCAAAAATCCTTTTCCTTTGAAGCAGTCGGCACTGAACTCTGACGCACACATATTTCCATCGCATAGACACACACACACACACACACACACACACACACACACACACGATGAAATGCAAGCACTCCACACACACACACACACACACCTGTCAACTTGTCTGTTCATTGTCCCAATTTGATTTTTCTCCCGGCTCAGTGTCAGCTCTGTATCAGACGTGGACTTGAAGAATAAAACACTAACCCCTCATCTCAGTATTTCTTGCAGTTCTCGCTCTTCTTCCGTCGTCTTCTCCCTGAAGGTGCCACCAGTTTATTTGCGTTTGTATGATGACGAGAAAAATCTTCGTTAATGGTAAGAAATTTCTGTGATGCAGAGTTTTTTAATGTCAATTTAATCCCCCTGCACGAAGAAACACTCACACAGTGTTTTCACCAAAGATGAAAATATATATTTTATCTCAGCGCCTCCCTAAGACCCTGCAGAGAGGCAGAGGTGTGACGGCTCCCACAAGTTCAGGTCCTTCCAGATTTTCTCACGGAGTAGGAAAATGGAAAACTGTAAATCCTCAGTGTTAAGGCCACAGACCAGACAAAACAAATCCAGTGTATGAAAGCAAAGATGAACAAAGATTTCACTCATGACCAAAACGTGACCGGTTTGTTTACTCTGTGTTCAGCTCAAGATGTTTGGCTGCAACATGAATAGATTTGAAATGAGGCTCCTGACAATAATCTGTTTTTCTCTGTTATATATTTCAAGATGTATTAAACAGTTTGAATCACCGACTGAATCTAAAGGTGGACGACACGTCTCCACTTCCCTCCACTCTCCAGAAATGAGGCCAAAATATCCTGGAATCGAACTCTGCCATCTTGTACTTGGAGCCAAGTCTCTCAAGGTCCGTCGATACACATGCACAACCAAACACACTTAAAACCAATCTTACTGGAAAAATCTAAAAAAAAAACACAAACCATCTTAAAAAAAAAAAAAATTTGACGTGTACTTTTGGACCATGTCCCATTTGCAAACATGGAGGAGGCCGGATATATTACCTATACTACATCCAGCCACCAGGTGGTGATCAAGGCGCTTTGGCTTCACTTTTGTGGAGCCGTCATGTCGTCCATCTTTATGAGCAGTCTTGATATTTGCATTGTGTTTATATTTCCGTGCTGCAGTTTAGATTTCGTCATTGGAAACGGATTTAAAAAATCATCAGTATTTCATTTACCAAAAAAAACTTGCCAAATATAACGAGAGAGTATCTGAATGGAAGATTCAAACCTTAAACATCTGTAACTTTTGGTATTTCAGGGATTATTAAATGGGAAATAATCAACCAGAATAAGTTTGATCAAAAGTTTGAGTTATAAATTAAAAGATTTGATCTGATGCAGGGGCAGAAAGGTTTTTATCATGAATGTTATTGTCAGATGAAGTTTTTTATCGATCAAATCATTCACAGTATGAATCACGTTTCTAATTCTTTCATTTAATATTTTCAATCTACGATAAATCTAATCTCACTATCTGCATTTTAAGATTTTTGCCTTCTTGTGATTTAACTTGACAACGTGTAAAACAGAGCAATGAAACCGACACTGGAATCATCAGTCGGACCATCTCACCATTTAAGTTCATTTAAATGTTTCCGTCTACCAGCTGCTACGTTTCTCTCGGGTTCTAACTACGAACTTCACTTTCACACACTTAAATCTCAGGACCGACACGGTGCTGCCGACACTGTTTCACCACTAAACTAGTGATCGTGTTTCTGTTTTTATTCTCAACCAACGTCACCTTCATACGAGCAGTGAACAAAACTGAATTACTGTCCAGGATATATGCTCATTAGTTACTGATGCATGAAGATGATTGAAACAAAGGTTCGGATTCAAAGTTTGACCCATTCTCCTCCAGTTCAGCTCTGACACTAATAATCCGAGTTATTATCCGTCACTGACCATCAGAGTCCAGCAGCTTGTTCTGAACCTCCAGTGACTTGAGTGTGCGAGTTCATCACGGTGAACGGAGTGCGAGGGGATGAGTCACATGTCTGTTTTCTGTATGAACGAGGTTTTGTTTTTCTGTATAAACACTGTAACTCACACATGACTCAAATAATGTAAATGTGAACAATAAAACTGAAGCTCTGGCATGAACAGTGTCACTCAGTGTTGTTTTAACAGAGGAACTAAAAATACACAAGTGTTTCATTTGATAAAATGTAGAAATACTGTATGAAGCCAGTATTAACCCTGGGTTAAAGGGACATTCTAATCATTGTAATCTTCAGACGATTACTTTAGCAGCAAAATGCTTTAAATAAATAAACAAATGCAAACAGTCAATAAACATAATTGTTAATATTATGGGACTTAGTCAGTCGTTCTCTGTGCCACCCCCCCCCCTCTCAGCTTTGCCTACTCTGTTGCAGTGACCCTGTATGGACCACAGGGTGGCAGTCTAACAGGCTTCTTTTTTCTCTCTGTAGAAACATGATCATGAAGAAGGAACATTTAGTGATTCTCATTCTGATGTAACTGACATGTGAGCGACGAGTGCGGAGAATCTGTCGGATCCATTAGATGGAGCCATGAGTCTGTTTACTACGAGGGTCTTTGATGTTCAGCCTCTTTAAAACATTCTGTTCGGCTTTCATTTGATTCTTGATTTATTGTTCTGTTCTTTTTAAAGGTTCAGATTTTATTCACGTCTTTCTTACTCTGTTGTGTATTTTAAAATTCCATCAACGTTACTGATATGGCAACAAAGAACTGAATCTTTTTTCTGTGCAGACTCATGGAGCTGGTGATCGTTAACTGAACACAAAAACTCCTAAATGCTTTTCTCCCATTTATTTTCATCCGGGCATTGTACAATGGAAGGCAACATTTAAATTATAAAAGTTCAGAGGAGGCGTCCGACACTCGCTGGATTCACACTGAGCTGCTCGGGAGACAAACTCACATCAGACGTCGCGTCCACATGTGAGTAGAAACACTTCACATGTGAATCACAGAATGTTTTTAGTGAATCCAGCGGGCGCAGGAAACAAATATCTATTCAAATAAAAACATCAACATTAGGGGGCGCTCTCTCCAGAAGGGGGAAAACAGGTGTATTGCATTGTTTGGGTATGGTTTAAATGGCATTTAGCAGAATAATTATGAACTCATGTGCATGTATAACAAGCACGCAACCTTATATATAGATATAGATATAGATATATGTAATCTATGACGATGAGTGTCCACACTTGTTGAGATATCGAGGCCTTGAAGTACCCACTCAACAATCAGAGTCAACAGAGTTAAGGCCAGCTCTTAACAGGAAGTAGATCAAATAAAACATACAGATATATAAATGCTGCGCGTCAATAATGATGACAACAAAGAAAACTCAGCTGCGTCACTTCCTGTTTGAAGATGCGTCTCGGTCCTCGCAGCAGGAGAGCGGCGGCGTCACCAGGAAGTTCAGTTTCAGTCTTTCTACAAAAAAAGCGACCGCGAAAGCAGCCCCCCCGCTCGATCTATCAAATCAGTCTGTACAAAATGGCCCCTCGTGTTTTTTTCCTTCCTGTTTGGATCAAGCGTCGAAGCCCTGAAGGAGTCGAAAAGCTGCACGTTACGCTCTGTGCATAGATTCTGACGTACGAATAAAAACAAAAAACACATCGTCCAATCAAACGACCGAGACCGTCTCTTGCACCTGGAGCGAGACGCCACTTCCTGGTCCTGCGTGACGAAACATTTCATCAATCCTCCAGCTGGAATTTATGGGGTTTTGGTCGTTAATAGTTTTTGGCTTTTTTGAAATAGTCCAGACGTGTTGTGCTGTGTGTGGCTCTGCTGCGATGATGCGAGACCGTGGTCGGTTTAGGCGAAGCTGGGTGGGAGTGGAGGAATGTGAGTGTCAGTTTGACCCAGAGAGAAACTAACAACGAGCAGCAGCAGGGCCGAGGAGGAAGAGGAGGAGGAGGAGGATGTCAGCCTCTGCTCAGAAGTTGAGCTTGGTGACTGGTCGCTCTCGGCTCGCGTCTGTGTTCTGGCTGTTGATGCGTTTGCGGTTGCGTTTCATCTTGGACAGGTCTTTGTCAAAGACCTCGCCCGATCGCAGCGCCGACACCAGGTCGTCAAACTCGCCGCCGTCGTCCTCGCCGTTTGCCTTTGCTTTCCGGGCCTTTCGCTCCTTCTCCCTCTGTTCTTTCAGCTGGTGACACAGGAAGGGAAACATTGAATCAACCAAAACGTCTCTCTGGATGTATTACTCTTCACCTCGGAGGAACAGTTGGATGACAAGCTTCCTGTCTTTACAGAACATGTACAGCAGCAGCAACATCATCTACAACACAAGCTCCGTTTTTAATTCCTTCTCAAGTTATAGTTTTACGTTTAAATCATAGTTTTTATTATGCTTAATATTATGTAATTTAAACAAACATCCAACGCTGGACAAAGCCAGGTTGGATGTTTTGCTGATTTATAAAAGCTAACAGTTGAAGCTTCATATTTATTTTACAACAGTGGTTTCAATGTTCTCATCTAATTTTCAGAGAGAAAGTAAATAAACATATTTCAGAAAATCTCAAATTATTATTCAGAACCTTTGTAGTTGGTCATGAATTCCACTTTGTATTTGTTTTTTCTCTTCATTCTCACTTTACAACTGAGTTTTTTAATTTACGTAGTTCTTTTTTTTGTCAAGACTCATGTGGAAACAGCAGATCACAAACCTGTGCTTCCATCTTGGCCCTGCGCTCCTCCTCTTCTTTGCGTCTCCGCATGTTCTCGTTCTCCTGCTGAGCCTCGGAGAACGACTGCAGGAACTGGTCGAAGATGCCGAAGAACTCGTCCGGCTGCATCTTGCTGGCGTCTTCGCCAAAGTGCTTCACTGCCCTCAGGAACTGTGGGGGGGGGGACCAAAGAGAAAAGGGGTCACACGGGATCAGATTTACAGCAGAACCGTGTTTTTACTTTATCGTCGGCCGTTTTACAGCAGACTCATTAGGGTCTCAGCTCTTTGAAATCAGAGCGGAGGAAACAGTAGTCGAGCTTTGAAGGCCGTGTTAACGCGCATCTGACCGGCTACTGATTACAGCCGCGGCCAGAGACTGGAGCCAGAGCTCAAATATAGGCGACGTGTTTGATGGGTGTTTTTAACTGAAGGTTAAAAAGGATAAAATCCAGATGTGAAATCCTGCTGAGAACAGGTACCTGAAAAAATCTACATGTTAACGACAGCCAATGGCATGAATGCTCAGTCAGGTGGAGCTATTCTGCAGGGAAGTTTTGAAATAGGCTTTTTCACAACAGGAATCAATGGGACGAGATTTGTACTCTGAAAATATCCCTTTAAATCTTAAAATTCTACAACGTCACCAGATGAAAGGCGGTGAGGGTCAGCGAGGGTTCTTTGATTTCCCATCATGAGTAAAGAGGACCACTGTGAACACTCTCAAATATTTAACCATGGGACACCGTAAATGATTCACAGAGACTAATGGTTGCCATGTGACCAGCCGAGCACTAGGGTCAGTGTAGCGCACGCACGCACACACGCACGCACACACACACACACACACACTTTGAGGAAAAAAAACATGCCTAAGATTTTAAAGAGAAAAAGGTAAAAAGCCTTCCTTCCTTCTTTCCTTGCACCAATAAATGTGGACAGACGCATAAATCTGACATCAGGGTGTCGCTGCGTCGGTTAAAAGAAGAACACGCTCAGGTTTCTGGTTGTAAAAAGACAAGTCTCTTTTCAAAATGACCACCTGCAACAGGTTTGCTTTGTAGGAAATGTTAGCTGCGAGGGAAATGCTCTGTGAGGATTTTCTCAAGGACTGCACACATTTAATCTGTTTTCAGACAGAACTGCAGAAGATGTCTGGAAAATTGGGTCCAGACAACTTTCAGGGTTTATCTTTCATTTATGGAGAACGCAGCAGGAGATTGATCAGGTCAGATTCATGCACGTCTGATATTACATTTAGTTTTTGCTGTGGAAATCTCATCTTTCCCTTTACAGCACATCATCCCCGACCCTTGTCGCCAAAAACTCTTGAATTTCGTTGTCTTTCCAAGTTCAGGTATGGCTCCTCTTTTATCTAGAGATATTTGCATTCTTTTTTTGTTTTATCTCTCTCACGTGTTAGAAACGTCACGTCCACTCGCTCTGTGAATTCTCCAGACATTTTGTTGCTCACTTGAACATTTTATCAGGAGGGCGGCAGAAAAACATCTGTGGCAATTGACTCAGACATTTGTGTTACATTGTGTTACATACATACAGCCCCTCCAGAAAATGTCCTGACTTCAGTGCTTCATGTCTGACAGCTTTAGTGTGATTCACAAAGTATTCCTACCATTACATGTGTAATAAAAGCACCTACAATCATGAAGTACAACATCCACGCAGTATACGTCCGTACTTTCACCAAACAGCTTTTATTTGATTGTTTTTTGCAACTATTACATTTATTTTATCCTTTTCTTTTTCCATTACTATTATTTTATCTGCTGTCTTTGATTTTAAATGACATTGTATTCATTTGCTTCTTGTCTTTGATGTTTTGTTTTTATTTGTCATCGTCGTCAAGCTGTTTTTAAAGGGGGTGTATAAATAAAGTTATTACTATTAAAATGCCGAACAGCCGTGTAAAACAATATACAACCCTCTACGTCTGTTCCTGCTTTCACTCTTTAGCTGCACTAAAGACAATGAGCAGCGTGACCGATAAAGTGCGAGCGGCGCTGCAGCAGGAAGCAGAAACACCTCACTCCCGCTGTTAGCTTTCCTAGAACGGTGACCAATGAGGTCAACGAGGTGCTTAGAAACAGCTGCACCGAGAGGAAACGGGATGCGAGCTTTTAAAGTCTGTGTCTACAAAGTCGGCTCATACAGACGGGGCGACTTACCAGCTCTTTGGCCTCGGTGAGAGAGTCCTCCACGTCGGAGAAGCTGAAGCTGGCCACCGTGATGAACTGACTCACCACAGACACAAATTTGTCGCCCAGCTCCTGCGGTCGCTTCTTCTGGTACTCCAGCTCCTGACAGGAAAAAATGAAAGAGCAGGAGTTGAAAGACGGCTTCACTGACTAATAAAATAAAAATGCATGTCCTGTCTTATCTTTGTGACTCACGCTCTCCACACTTTTCAAGCCACTGCGGAGGTTGCAGATATCTTTATTCAGCTCCGTCATACTGCACACACAAAGAGAAAGGTGGTTGTTGAACACAGAAAAGAAGGAAACAGGAGAAATGTGGCCAGAGGCTGTGGATCCAAACCATCCTGGCTCATGACTCCAAAGAAAAACCCACGACTAATCCCGACAGCTTGTTTGTTTATGTCTTATGAGCAGATGGTTAATGATCCAGTTAATTATCCAGTACATATTTCACAACATCAGAAAAAAGATATATATAATTACTGTGGCAGAATTTCTTTCTGTTATTTCCATTTAACTTGCAACCTCTAAATGTGAGGCTACTCCCACACTAATATGTTTTTATTTTAAACCCATGTTTAGACGATCTTAGTCAAAACAGCTTTTTAGTAACGTATCCGCAATAATCCGTACTAATGCAAAACCTGACCATTCACGAACACTGTAACAGGAAGTAGACTGTCTACTGTATAGCTGGTTGCTTGGTTGCGAACATGTTAGAACTAGAGTGTAAAGTAAGATGAGGGATTTCCTTTCTTGGACGATGAGGTGGAACCAGTAAGTGTTAGAGAGGTTTTCCCTTCATCAGTTGTAGTTGAGTTATGACTAATAAGAACCAATCAGGAGGCATGTGGGTGACTGTATCATCGTTTCCATGTTTCTGTTTATGCCCCACCATACTCAAACATACAATAAAAACTGGGCAAGCAGCGTTTAAAAAAAATATTTTACATCTTAAATTTGTGAATCATGCATCTTTAGTTATTGTATAGCACTTTGTAACATGGTTTGAAATGTGATGTAAAGTATAAATAAGTGACCAACCCTCATCTCATATCATCAACATTCTCTACATCCCATCAACCAACACCAGTGTCAAGACGCCAGGGGAGTTTCCTGTGATCTAAATGTAGTTGTGTGGATGAAGCCTTAATCTTGTGACCTCTTGTGGGGTCACAGCCCTCAGATTGGGACCCATCGCTCCAGGGTTTCACCTACTTGACTTTGGCGGCCTCTGAGATGCTCTGCAGATCGTCCTGGAACTTCAGGACTTTGGGGTATTTCTTCTCCAGAATAGTGATCAGGTAGTGCAGCAGAGTGATGTTTCTATGAAAAATCAGTCAAAAACTTGATGTAATGGTTTTATGATGTACCTTCAAATATGATCAACCACATGTAGTTTCACAAATTTCACATTCCCACATCCAGATGTGACATTTTATATTTCATACATTCTTTCTGTTATTGCCTGTGAAGATTTAAACTTACTTGTCGATACTGGACTTGGTGTCAGCGATCTTGTTGAGTGAAGACATCTTGAAGCCGTAAGCGTTTCCTCTCGGACCCTTGTTCATGTAGTTCCCAAAAGCGAGGACCACCTCCAACAGCTGCTTCAGGTTTCTGCTGTGTAAGATCTCCTTAGACGCCTTTGTCAGAGCTGA